AACAAGCATCAAAGATGTTGAACATAGCAATGCTTGCAGTGGTGAGCATGCTCGAAAGTCTTAGACCAGCTCAAGTCAAGAGCAGTTGAATGAATAATGACAAGAGACTTGAGACTATTGAACTGTCAAATACTTGCAGGCCACTGTATGTGGTGTCCAGTCATGACAGGGTAGCTAACAAGAGCTCTTGGCAATTTCTCTAATGGAGCTAGGACAAGATATACCATAATAAACACCCTCCATATGATGTTCTGTCCTCGAATTCTTCAACAGGGCTATCGTGTCAACAAATAGCTGCTCAATATAGTTATACAGATCTTCAATACATGAGTAGTTCTGACAAGTGAGGAAGTTCGAAATGGCGTATACATTAAGCCCTACATATGATCCTTGATGAGGAATTGAAAGTCCTTCTGTAGTCTTCGAAATGGTTTATAGTGACCATTCATTTTTTAAACTAAAAGTAGAGTAATCAGGGGAACCATAATACTTTTAGAAGACAGTCCAGACTCCAAACATTGGGTTAGTATATGTACAAACTGTATCTTAAGATTGGCAGGGGCCGCGCGAATGCATACCTCCTCAGCAACAAATAATGACATAGGCTATCCTACTTGAAGATATCTTAAACGAGCACCCCTCCTGAGGGCAACGGAGGTCATTAACCTAGGCCATGAACCTTCTTGATCGTCCATTGACCCCGTCCATGTAAGTATGTTCTAAAGTTGCTCTAGCCATAGTTTTCTAGGGTTTATGCGTATCTCCAATGTGGGACTATTCCAAAAGCAAACAAATCTATGTTAAAATCTGGAGGATGCACCCTCCATGTTAAAATCTTTAACCTAATAAAAGGAAAATCATTTCTGGTCTTGTACAGTAAAATATCATTACTGCGAAAAATGACTGACCTAAAAAAAATGAAATTGAATACTCAGCATACACTTGATTGTTCATCCAATATACTGAACATGGAGAGGTAAACAATGCTATGAACTGCTCTGGGAGTTAAAAATACTATGAGTTTGGCTATCGGTCAGGCTTTCTTCATGGAAAAGTTCATAATGGTCTTTGTCGGCTTTAAATTTAATATCATCAATGGAAATATTCAGGTCTGGAACAAACTTTTGAGCGGCAGTTTGACCTTCGAGCATACTAACCACTGATGACATTGAAGGTCTAAGTATTGGAGATGTATTAGTGCAAGAAAGAGCCACATTAATCATCCTCAGAACCTCTTCCTCTACATAGTTCGATTTCAAACGAGGATCAACTAACTCCAACAATTCCCCTTTCTCTTGTAGAACCAGTGCCTAGCCATGAAATCGGACAAGAAAGTGATTAGTATTAAGTATAAATAATCTTGGTTCTCTTCGTAAAAGATAAAAGATACAAACTGAAAATATAGATGGGCGGTTGTATTTACCCAGTCAAGAAGATATATGCCTTCTGATTTAGCTATGTAACCTGTATTACTTCTCCCACTGACAATTTCCAAAGCGACAATCCCAAAACTGTAGACATCCGCTTTATCCGTCAAGTAACCCCTCAATGCATACTCTGGAGCCATATATCCTCTGCAAATTCAAGACTGGAATGTTTATTAACCCTACAGATGACAGATTAATTGGTATGCTTTCCTCCATATACAATGAATCACATCTACGTCTAGCTTCAGGTTTTACTATATGTATTCTTAAAATGTGAAGAAAAAAAAACCCTTACCCTCCATTACTTCAAAGGTGATAATCGATGGAATTGGCAATAAAGTTTAATTGGAGGAACATAGCTGTGTGACTTACAAAGTTCCAGCGACTCGAGTACTGATATGGGATTTCTCCTCTTCAACAAGTTTAGCCAAACCAAAGTCAGCTACTTTAGCATTAAGATCCTCATCAAGCAAGACATTGGTTGCCTTGATATCTCTGTGAACAATCTTCAACCTTGATTCCTCATGAAGATAAGCCAGAGCTCTCGCTATACCAACACAAATCTTATGCCTAGTTGACCACTCCAATTTCAATTGGTTTTCATCATCACCTGAAAAATTGTGAAATGAAGACAAGACTAAATACAATAGTTTTTGTGTATGATACATCTCTAAGAATCTAGAAAGCATCATTAATGCAAATGATGGCTCTCTTACCAAACAAAGCACGAGCAAGGCTGTTGTTTGCCATGTACTCGTACACTAGCAATAATTGATTTCCTTCAATGCAGCACCCATGAAGTTTTACAAGATTAGGGTGCTGCAGACCAGAAATCAGTCCTATTTCATTCACAAATTCCCGATTTCCTTGTTTCGATTTGGAAGAAAGTTGTTTGACTGCAATTATGGAACCGTCTGCTAAATGTCCCTGCAATTTCATCGTGTAGATAGTTATGTATAACATTAACTTTAATTAGATGCCTGTTAATTGGTAGAAAACTCATGACAAACAAACTTCTCTGGACATTACTTTATAAACAGACCCAAACCCCCCTTCTCCAATTTTGTTTTCAGCATCGAAGTTGTTAGTTGCAGCTTTGATTTGCCTCAATGTGAACGAACCAGTCTGTAAATCTAGGCCTCTCAAATCTGTCCGACAGTATATGTCAGAAAAAAGAAAAATCGAGTGTTATGAACTGTAGAACCATTTTTAGATGAAGGTCATTTGTTACTTTGGTCATTTCTGGCCCATTAAAGTAATTTTCTCAGCGTATTACTAAGATAAAGGATCTGACCTTTATCGATTTGATTCTTCCGTCCAAAGCATCCGTTCCACCAAAGAACACCCAGAACTATCAAAATAAGACTCAACACCGCAGCCACAATTCCAAGTACAAGGACTAGAGATATCGTCTTTGAGTTCTTTCCTTCTTCTGAAGGAGGTATAAAGTCTACACAGTAAAGACAAGAAGAAAAATGAAAGCAATTAGGTGAAAAAAATTATTATTTCACAAAAGTCCAAAACTCATAGTATCAAACTAGAGTACTGGCAAGAACAAAGGAATAGCTGAAAGTCAGAAACTCAAAAAAAA